CACTGATCACCTGGTTACTGACAGACGTGTTTGGGAACTGCTCTACCATTTGGTAGTCATTGGAAACCAACAGTGGTAGAGAAAACATGACGTGTGGGTCAGTGTGAACAGATCTTCCTCTTCTCCTGATTAAAATAAAATAAAATTAAAATTAAAACCTTCAGTCTGAAACTAAACAAGAGCAAAATGCAATGTTCTTCTCCCTTTTTTCGCTTCTCCTCAGTGCCAAATCTCAACGTGGTTGGACGTGATGGGCGGCCTCTGTCCCAGCAAAGGTGCCAGGAATGTGATGAGGCCAGTTGCACACCATGATTGAAAGGCACAGGCAAAGTGCAGGCAGGAGAGTCTACAGACCGACCCAGTAAGTCATTTAACAATGCTCTTGGCCCCTTCTTTTGGAAATACTTAATCCACCCACAAACACAGAACTAAAAAGCACACATAAGCACTGAAAGTTAAAAAAGCACTCATTTTTAAAGTAGTAGATGGATATATTTAAGCAGTCTTCAACAAATCACGAATCCAGAGCTATATGAAATTATAATTGTGTGTGTGTCTGTGTTCAAGTTTGCTTGTACATATACTGCACAGAGAACAATGTTTACTGTAAATTGTGTCACCTGAACAGTGCTTGCAACAGGATGCTAGCTAGACTGGATGTTTGCTCTTTTAAGAGTAAACGTTACTAATAATAGTATAAAGAACAGCAACAAATAAATAAATAAATCGAAGTTTTTTATTTAATAAAAAAAGAATCTCGTTCTTCCAGTCTCGTGAATGCTGAAGATTTGAAGGAAGCTGCTGCCCCCTTCTGGTTCTAAATAAAAGTGCAAATACTTGGCACTAAAAATGTGTAGGATTCTGGTCACAAATTAGAATTACCAAGTAATAGACAAGTTTTGATTTTGAAAATAGCATAAAACTGAGGTGGCCCAAACTACACTTTCATATTTAATTAGAGCACTCAACACAACTACTTTAAGTTACTATAAGACAAAACAGTCTTGCCAATACAAAAGTGGCACAAAGCTGTGCCAGGAGAGATTCAGACAGGACATTAAGGAAAATTTATTTACTGTGAGGGTGGTCAAACCCTGGAACAGGCTTCCTGGAGAGGTGTTTGATGCTCCATGCCTGTCAGCGTTCAAGAGGCATTTGAGGCATGTTTGGACAATGCCCTCAATATCATGCTGTAACTTTTGGCTACCCCTGAAGTGGTCGGACAGTTGGGACTTAATCTTTGTAGGTCCCCTCCAACTAAATTAGTCCATTCTATGTGTTTGCGCCTTTTATTTTAAAATAAAATCAGTTTCAAAGTTAGCAATGTGTTACCTGGATCTAGATTAATCACCTTAAGAGCACAAAGAATTTGAAAAATTTCTGCTAGCTCCCTGAGTTTTCTTATGACACCTCACTTCCATTGTGAGTTAGCACCTGACCTGTCAAGCAAAACAGGCAAAAATAAAGATCAAATCAATAGGAAACTCCAGTAACACTCGTTTAGCAACTATACAAAAATCCCCATCCATCTACCAGAGCAGCATCCTTCTATAAAAAGCCCAGTCACCAGCTTCAAACCTGAAGTTGCCAATGCCCAGCAGCTGAGGTGCATTGAAGTATTTAAGCCGTAACTCCAATCAGGAAACCCTTCATAAAGGGTTATAAACAACCATGAAGAATATAAATGAAATCTGGGGGGAGATTGGTGATGCCTTTGCAGAGGTAGCCCAAAGGCTCTGCTCTCATAACAGGGGCAACCCACAGCAGCGCTGCAGGCCTTCTACTGCAAAACAGGTGTCAAGAGTCAAGGCAACACCTTGCAACCAGCATCTAATGCTTAACTGGGAGTTGAAGCTACTAAGATCACCAAAATGAAAGAGAGACAAACAACCAACATAATGAGCACACAAAAATCTAATGAGGAGCCTGATGTGTAACATCTCACAAGCCATCTTAGTACTTGCTCCTGGTGTCAGTGTAACAAAACGAGTACATCCTTTTCTGAAGAAAGACACCACTTAAGAACCAAACAAATTCATCACATACAGCTTCACAGCCTAGACACTCCTCAGAAGCATTCCCCAGGAGATCACAGAGTGGTTTAAGTTAGCAGGGACCTCTGGAGCCCGTCTGGCCCAAGCCCCAGCACAAGCAGGGCCACCTAGAGCAGGATGCCCAGGACTATGTATGTCCAGGTGGCTGTTGAAGGTCTCCGAGGAGGGAGACTCCATGAGTTCCCTGGGCAACCTGTTCCAGTGAGGCTGTCACAGCAAACATGCTGCAGTGAAAGATGCAACTCCTCTGTGTCCATACTTACTAATTCCAGAGATGTCACCCTTTTCACCCAGCCTGGAAACAGACCCACACAGAATCAGAAACTTCAGGAGACTGGCACCTCCTCTGACCGCAAGGCTAAACCAGGCATGAAACCCCGAACACAGAAAAAAAATAATCACCTGCCCTTAGCAAATGGAAGGCCAACAGCAGCACACTCCCCACAGGTTGTTCCAAGAGGGATTGAACTGGGACAACCCATTTCTGTTGGAAGGAAAAAGCATTCAGAGCAAACACGTTTCCAGAAGCATAAGCCCAGTGAACAGGGTAATTATCTGCTCTGGTTCAGCAGCCTGAACATTAATCCTTTCATTCCCAAAATAAAATGATAACACACACTTGGACAATACCAAAGATCATTAGACAAAATTATCTCATTCTGCTTTATTCCATTTTACAGAATTGTTACTCTTTCAAGTATTGAGATACTTGATGGGAAATTTGAGATTTAATCAAGAGGAGTTTTGTTAACAATGTGAAGACTTAACTGAAAAATTACCGGGTGTCACCCAAGCCTCCCTGATTTCTGGCATTTTCTTATGGATAATCACATCTATGAATGTCTGTAGTTTAGCTTTGTTTTTTACACCCTCCTGTTTGAGTTTGAGCCGTGGAAAACCAGTCAGCGGAGAGCTGATGGCTACACAACTGGTGAATGGAAACACTAGGGAGATGGATCAGGCTGTAGTTCATGGGTTTCTGCCAACAAAGATTAAACATCTTTAAAAGAAGTTTAGCTTAGTGATATGGTTTAGTGAAGGACTTGTTAGTGTTAGGTCAGAGGTTGGACTGGGTGATCTTGGAGGTCTCTTCCAAAGTTCTGTGATTATGATTCTGTGATTAAGTTTTCCATTCAAAAGGGAAAACTATTGAAAAACATTGCTTAGCCGTTAATCATCCATCTGGCCTCAAAACCATGGTTATAAACAATGCAGCACTGGTGTGGGCATCAGGAGCAGACATCAAATTACTTCACCAGGGGTACACGAGCAAACAAGGCAAGGCTAGTCTTAAGTGTATGGAGGAACAACTGCCTTGATTAGAACAAAGGGGGAAAAAATGAGAAAAAAAAAGTTGAGCATTTTCCCTTCAAAGACAGTAAAAAGTTTGCCCCTTCTTAGTGCCTGGATTGCACTCGAATCAAGACACTGTGTGTCAAGTCACACTTGTGACCTTTGCCTTTTGAACAAAAGGCAAGTTTGAAATAATTTAGGTAATTTTATTTTGCAGTCATTGGGCTCAGGTTCTACCCAGCAAAAAGTGAATTGAGTATTGACTCAATACAGGAGTCAGGATGTGTTTCTCTTTTGTCACGTATGGATCTCTTGAAAAAAAGATCAATGCAGAGGGCCTATTCATTATAGCCACAGGCAGCAGCCAGGTCATTCAGCTGGGCACTGGGTCACCAAGACATTTTGAACAATCTTTCTTCACCCCAGCTGGCATACAAATATTTTTACTCCTCTTTCCATCTGTTTCCATCTTTGTTCATAGATCCTCCTCTTGCTTTATTGCAAAGGTTACACCTCAGCCACGTGTAACAAGTTCTCTCTCCTTTCCCTGTTCCTTCCGTCTGTCACCTAAACCCTTTAAAAATTAGTTAAAAAAAAATAAATATTAAGAGTTCTAGCTCTCACCAGTTGTGCATTACCAATCTTTTCATCCAAGATGACTCAGACTTGTCTACTGAGACATTTTCTACCCTTATGGTCTCTCTATTTAGATGTTCTCAATAAATCTGCAAGAACTGCCATAATTACACTCTTAACACAACTACCATAGCATTATCTTTCTATTTGAGTTCTCTGCTTGGTCTCCAGCTCTGGATGAACTTGCTTCTATAAGGCAGGAAGACCACTAAGTATAGGCGAGAGATTATTTAAAAAAAAAAAAAAAAAAAATTTTTTTAATCCTGCTTTAATATCAGGACTAAGAACAAATGTTTTGTAACTTCAGTCAAAAAAAAGTCTATTACTCCTAATGCAGAGCAAACTAAAAGAAAAAAAAAAAAAGGCAGTTTCCACAATTTTACCAAAATGACTTAGTCCTTTGACAGGTTTGGGACTTTGCAACTTTTAGCCACAGGCTAATATTTATGGTATTATTTTACAGCCAGAGTAACACTGCAAATTTTTTTTTTTTTTTTTATTGAAAAACATTCAGCAGGAAATGCTTCTCACATAAAAGGTTCTTGAGACATGTCCTGTAACTCTCACTCTTAAAATGTAATTTGTTATTAACCGTTGCTGGCCAAGACTAGGTTAGTGTCAAACTTCATGTTATGCAGTTTTATTTTCCTCATTTGTCAACTTTTTGCCTGCGTGTGGATTACGTGCTTAACAAAAAGATCACACACAGGGTTAGGTATCTGTATTTTATATATAAAAACGGAAGAAAATGAAATATTCTGAATTAGGTACAGAAGTCACTGAAATGCAGAAGAATATTTACAGGCTAATAAAAATATTTTCAGTTTAGCCAGATATAATACATACATTGCAAAACGTTATACCTCCTAAAGGAATGAGAGTAATCATGTATGGATGTTTGGACATATACAATATTTGTATTTCATTTAATATAACTGTTGATTAACATATATTGAGATGGATACAAACCACCTTCTTTGCCACAAATACACTTTTACAAAGGAAATACTACATATGGTCTTTGATCAGAATTAAATTTATTGCCATTAAGCACTTTCCTTAACTTGCATGCTCTTAATTAACATTGGTCCCAGACGCCAAGAAGCACTGTCTACCTTTAGCTTAAAATACACTTGTCTCAACGAAGTTTTCTTTTTAATAGGCAAGGAATTATCTACTAAAAAATTGCACCGTTCTCTTTAGAATATTATTTTATTTTTGAAGTAAAAATATATATACACACACATACACCAGTAAACCGTTTTACACTTTAAAAAATAAAAATGAAGTCTGAATACTGACTTGCCTCGGAAATTCTTCCGAGTCTAATTCATTCAACCTCTGGGAATAAGCAGTCTTCCAGTTTCTGACAAAGTGGGAAATACACATTTGTCTATTGAATCTGGAAATCCCGACTTGCAAAACTTTTCTCAGTTTAAATATTAATCTCAAAGCATCTCAGTATGACTACAGTAAATCAGTATGTTAAATCTGCTGGTAGGAAGTGTGGAGTACAGCCATGCTGTAGTGTCTGAGCAAAGTCTTCCCATTCAGGGCTTTCTAAACAAAGATTATAAAAACTGCAGGCAAGGAAATACAGTGATAATTTACTGCTACCTGATTTGTCTACTCCTAGTCATTTTCCTTGGCAATTGTTCCTTCTGTTATCTCAGATACAGGTCAAAAATAGACAAGGTAACAGAGAAAGGGTCCAGCAACTTCCAGACAATAAAGAAAAGCACATAGCATCATAAGAAACAGGTGGACAAGGAATGTCAGGACAGTAACTCCAGAAACATTCTCCCACTTCAGGCTTAAACAGATCAAAAGTGGAAAGTGAGGCGTGCCAGGAAGTGAGAACAAATAAATTAAAAATTTAATCTTTCCCTCAGCTACATGGAAACTGTACAGGCAAATTACTTTTTAAGTTATCAGACTAGTTGGACCAGCTTCATTTCCTACAACCGCATCAGAATTTCATACAGCTATGATCTCTAAAGACAAGATCACTACTTGGCTTTGAGCTATCCTCTCTACCACAGAGGATACAGAATGTCCCAGGCCACAGACTGTTTCAGAGTTCACTCTACTTACTGCGGGATGCACTTACTTAGCACACCTACTGACTGGGAGAAACAGAAATCTGGATGCAAAGTTATGGCAGTGGATTTATCTGCTAATATGTAGCCAACGTGTCCTAAAATTTCTGAAGCTTTAAAGAAAAGAAACATGTCTGGGAACCTGTTTCTTCTTTAAAGGGATTTATTTTTAAATACTAGTTTCTGTGTGCTGAAAATTGTACAACTTTGACTATTCTAAAAGCCTTCAACGCCATGCCATATGACAGGGACTGTTACAAAAAATGAACCAAATAATGTAATTCCACTGAGTGGAACTCATGCATACACGCACACTTAACGATCCTGTAAATAGCGAAGTTAGGGGATTTATAAATAGCAAAATCTTTGAATAAAGTATATACATTTTTATGATTTTTCTATAAACATATATATAGTGCTCCTAGGAGAAACAAGTAACTGTGTTCTACATCACAATTTTGAATGTAAAATTAATTGATAATACTCTAAAGGCCTTTGAGTTTTTTTGCTATATATGTATATCCTACACAGTAACACTTGCGAAGATGCCTTCTCACATAAGCTCCACTCTCAAATTACAAACTCTTTTCACATTACAGTTCCACAGCCTGAAGAGCAGTTAACAGGAAAGCTGCCTTTGCAGGCTGAAACAATAGATGCGATCACAATGCAAAAGTTTGCATATGGAGAGTGTTGCACTTACAGATCTCCAAGTTCAGTTCTTGTATATCTACAGATACAAGAGTATGAGAAACTGGTCAAGAAGCCATGCTCAACATTCCCACCTGCAACCATGCCACAAACCTTTAGATGTACACCAATTAAAAGCTATTTTGAGATACACTACTCTTACAAAGGGAATAATGTTTTGTTTCAACAATAAGACAATTACAGGTTAATACAACTGCCAAAATTAACAGATAGGGCCGGACACTGTATGATTTTGAGTACCTCCTATAAAGCACCGTGCACTTTACTTTCACTTCTTTAAAGATTATTGTAATGTGAAATGAATATGTCCAGTACTTATTAAAAACACTGAGCATTTCCTAAATTCAAGCTAATAATGACCAACTCAGACAACTCCACATGGGCAGTAACCACATCCATTCAAGAATGTATGCTAAATTTATGATGCTTGGGAAAAAAACGCCAAAGGGAACATAACTGTGAGTGCTTTTTAAGCAAATTTTGCTTGTAAAACCCTGTAATACTCTGTCTAAATACTTTCAGAGCAAGTTTCATTTGGCAGTGAATTAATTAAAACAATAATGCCAAAAATCTCACCCATAAAATTATCATGGGCTGCAGGATCACAATTAGCAAGTACTCCACTGTCCAATTATGGTTTTGATGGTCTTTGCTCAAGTAAAATCTGGTTTTTGCTGTTCTCAGAAAACAATTTTTGTTTGTTTTTAAAGTTACAGCTCAAAAATCCCAAGTGGAAAACTCAGGTATGCAACAGTACAATTCCCCCCCTCGCTTTCTGGAGTCAAAGTTTCACAACAGACTGAACATTGTTCTCCCTTTAAAACAGTTTCAAATGAAGATGGCCACATCTTACTCTCTTTCCTCGGGGACATCAATGAGATTAAAAGTTGAAGGTATTGAGGTTATCATTTTTAGAAATCCCATGCTTTGGTACTTATTATTAAAAGGAAATTCATTTAACATGCCATGTGTTAAGTAACTATTGTGTGTCACGCAAAAGACAGTTTTCCACATTTAGAATTGCTCACAATGAAGCCCTGAGGTAACTGCCTTTTATCCAGGCAACAGTAATACAGGTCCCTTTGACTTTTAATCTTCCTTTTACAACCTACACTTGTATATGCAACTTGGAACAGTCACTATTGATTATCAATTGTTCCCAAAGATGGGATCTGTCCAGTTGTGGGTTTTTGTTTGCTTTTTTAGGATAAAGACTCAGCAGAACGGCTTAATTTGGGTGCAGCGTCTTCTAACGGAGCTTCAACTGAATTCCTCAGGTCTCCATTTTCATGTCCATCAATTCCTGGTTTCTTATCAAACACTGCAAGTTAAAAAAAATACATTTAAGGAAGAGAACCAGTCTTAGGAATCACAGATTAATAAAATTTATTTCACAATCTGGAAAGTTTACTGAAATAATTACTAAAAATATGAGCTAATAAGCTTTTGGTAAAACGTAGTATGGCAGGAAAACAAACCATTTCTTCATGCCTCTGATCTACAAAAACATACTTGAAACAGACAACAAAATAATGGCTAAAGGGGAATTAACTACTCCTAAAGAAGAGTAGGGAAAATATATGAATAATTGGGAAAAGACAATCAGGAAGAAAAAAACAGCAGAAGTTTTACTTAAATAGAACAGACCAATGAGTAAGGGCCCAACCAGTAGAGCTGACAACCTAGTAGTAGGTCAACTGAATTAAAAGAAGATTAATTTTACAAAATAAAACACGTGTTTTCCAGAAATTGGTTTGCACAGTGAGACTTCAGAGTTAAAACTGCATAACGCTTTTTAGAAAGTTTACCTTGCGAGGGTTTGACATCCACAATTGCTTCTTTCCTACTAGAACTTGAATTTGCACCTTCTTCCAATTCCTCAAGATATAAACGATAGCGGTGTCCACTCTCATCCTCATATTCTACATTTTCATCATCTGAATCAACTTCTGGAGCAACATACACTACTTCAAATTCAATCTCTCCTCTCTAGAATGCAAACAAAATTACAAATTTACTTACTACTACACTGCTACATAACGGGTTTACCAAATCAGCTGGGTTGCTGCAACAAGTAGATTTAACTGAACAGTTGTGTTGAATGTTTTGGGCATGTACCTGAATTAAGCTTTAATGATTAAAGAAGTGCAGCTCTACAGCAAAGATTTACCTAAGTTAACTGAATTTTTCATTATGTACCAGTGCATTTAAACAGTAACTTTTTAAAACAGTATCTAAGAGTAAGCTTTCTGACAAATTTAAACCTACTAATTGTCTGAAAATGAGAAGCAATGCAGCAAGATGATTCTAGACCACACAGCATATCAAGAACATTGTTTAGCTGCAGCTGTCCACTCATAAAAAACAGGCATCACTATTTCCCGATAACAAGATTTCCATTAGCCTTACTGGAGGATCATCGGTCACTAGAGATTTAACTCGATCATTACTGACCCAGCCTTTTTCTCCTAGATTGCAAGACACAAGAGGATTAAGTGTAAGGTGACGGAGGTTCAGGAATCACTGTAGCTTTGCACAATACTGTGCTTGACTGAAAACATTAAAATCCAAGGTAAATCAGTAGGCAGAACAAAGGAAGCACATAAATATGCCTATGGATAACAGGTTCCAACTGACCTGTTGGGAAAGGATAGTTACAGCTTCTTTATGCTTGGCATCTCTTAGATTAACTCCATTCACTGCCAGAATGGCATCACCAACATGCAGTCCTCCACATCGATCTGCAGGTTGTCCAGGATGGATTTCAGAGATCAGTATTGGAACACCATGCTCCTTCCCACCCTATGGGAAAAGTGGATTTTAGTTACTTGAAATGTACGTAAGCATGAAATCAGCATCCCAACAGTCGATCTTACAATGCTTATTTCATCTTCTATTATAGAACATTAAAAAGCATGCTCTGGACAAAAAGAATGCTTAAGAAGATGGAATGAGATGCTTCTCTTAATTCTTCCCCCCTCCTCCCCCCAAAAGAATGGCCTAATTTCAAATATATACTCAGAGTAAAAGGAGACAGTTCTGAATAATAATAAATGTATTTTAGATCACAGACAAGCTCAAGACAACATCAAAACCTCAATAAAAAACAGACACTATATTGACTTGCAAGGAAAAAAAAACAGTATTTAGAATAAAAGTGTAATAGTCTGAATTTTCAAAGTTTGGCGTAAAAAGTTAACATGGCTTTTGTTAGGTGTGAAATGCCAATAACAAGAAAAAACGACACAAAACTATCCTCTAATTACAACAGCTAAGCTTTATAAGTTAGTTCTCAGACTTTTTCTGAGTTTGTACAGACTTATGACACCAGAAATTCATTACTGGCTAATCTACCATAGGACCCAAACCCTAAATATGAGTTGAAACCATAAGTTTTACATAAACTAGCAGTTGACAATCTCAAAATCTATCAAAATGAGTTGTATTATTCAAGTCATATAATTATACCTGTGAATTTACATAATGCAGCCCTATGCTTTTTTGTGTGTGTTACATTCTAACAATACACTTACTGTTCCAAATATTTTACGAAGTACAAATACAAAGTTAAATTGCTTCTGGTGTGTCATAGAAAATAAATGTAAGCATTTACTGTGATTGAAATTCCTAGTCCTTCATGGTCTTCTTTCACTAGCAGAACTTTTCTGATTGGACCAACACCTTGACTCTTCTTTAAGGCATCTGGATCCTAGTTTGATAAAAAAAAATACATACATATAAATATAAACGCGATGAGTTTTTTTTTTTAATTGTAGAAAGACAGTGTATTGGCAACAGAGTTTTAGATTATCTCCATGCAGGCAGGACAAACTTACAGTGCCCCTTTACAGAAAGACTAAAATCAGAAAAGGTTTCTCACTATGCATTCCTGGCAAGAACAATTATTTCAGTTATTTCTGTGTTGTGCATCACTCAGCACTGAGTTTATCTTCAAAAGAAGGAAATCTGCCAAATTAAAACTATAAATGGACTACATAAAGGAATGCTGATCACTGCTGAAAAGTTATATGACAAACAGTAATTTAAAGCTAATCAAATGGTAGATGTAATACAGTCCCAAAGAAAAGGTTGCTCACTCAACTTTATTCTTGTTATATTAAAAACACACCATTTCACAAGCTACTCGACTCAAACCTAAAAAAGAGGCTAAGTAAATTGTGGTATTTATTTTGCTTCTGTTAAGCTGTTGTTGCTATTATTCATACCCTTAAGATCACACACACACACCTATTTATCCACCAATATTTTATATGCTATTAAGAACATAAGTAGTAGGATCCATCTGACCATCTGTATTTAGAACAGACCAAAGTAATGCCCTTCCCTCAAGGTGTTCCATCTTATGCACTGAAAACTGGGGATAACAGTTCACGTGCCCAGCTAGGTGAGGTAAGGTCTATGCCAAAGTCACACATGCTTTTAAAAATTTTATTTTAAAAAGTATCTTTTGGAGGGGAAAAAAATTTAGAGTGTCAATTTATCTGGCCTTAAAAGAAATAAAAGGTGAATTTCAGTTCAAATTTAATCCTAAAAAAATTATTTTTCACAGTTTCCCCAAGTAATTTAGCCCCTTATTTTGAGAAACTTACCTAATAAAAATTATGCTGTTAAATTCACATCTATACACAGCAAAATTTTCAAAAGGGCTGCATATTCCTATGTAAGTCAACAGAATTTTATTATCTTTCACAGTCATTTATGGAAACATGCGATTTAGGATGGAACTATCTTTTAACATATCCAGCTCTGAGCTTCCCAGCACAAGAAAGACATGAGTCTATTAGAGCAGGTCTAAAGGTGGGCTACAAAAATGTTCAGAGGGCTGAAACACCTCTCCTGTGAGGAGAACTAGGGTTGTTTAGCATGGAGAAGAGAAGGCAGAAGTCTTGGACTAGATGGTTCCTTTGAACTCAAGGAAGGTTCCTTTCAACTCAAAGCATTTTCTGATATGAAAGAAATACAAACATTAAAGGGACAGTTAAAATAATTCAGTATTTGAAGTGAAAACAAACACAAAAATGAACGAACTCCTATCTTTTTTCCACAGACACCAAAAATTATGGACTCTCCTTCCAACTTACATGTCCTGGTGGTGCTTGCATTGGTCGCTTCAGATCATTCCGACCTCGACAAGCTCTAATAACAGTTTTGTGACGGTGAAGGTGTATTTCTGCTTCAAGCTGATTCCAGAGTTTGTCATGAGCAGGTCCCTTCATATCTCGGCCCAGTAACTGAATCTGCTGAACTCTACGTAACAACAAAGAGAATAAACAACATGCTAAATTACTACCAAAAAAACCAGTGCATTGTACAATTCATCCTTCACATGGCTACAGCACGCAGCCATTCAGCAACTAGTGCAAGTGCAGTAGCTGCATGGAATTGTGACAGCGTTGAGTACGTGTATGTTAAATACAGGTGTACTTACAAGTTCTCCCTAAAATTTAAAGCACTTAAGATTCATTTCACCCACGGCACCCAGAAAACTTAATTAAAAAGTGTGTGGCTCTACTTTGGAAAATGCGCAATTTTTAGTTCCTTCCTTTTGTTGAATTAATTGCAAATGTGAGACTTTTCCTACTAACTCTTAATTTTAGATCCGTCTCTGGGGATGCAAAAGAAGAGAACAAACAGGATTGCAAAAGTGACCATTTCTGTGTCTGACATTTCTGTGTCAGACAAAATAAACACAAAACTGCAAATAATAGAAGTAAATGGCTGGGCTCACCCCATGACCAAAGGGACCAAGCCCTGTTCTCAGAAGCCTTACAAGGCTATCTTGTTTTTCATTAAATCATAATAGAGGCATATTTTGATGAAGTGGAATAAATAATGTAATTTTTATAAGAGGAAATTTAAATCTAGCTCTAATGGCAGCAAGGGTCTCAGACCCACAAGAAAAGATGTAAACGACCAGTCCAGCTCCAGCATGAAGTATTTATTAGTGCTTATCGTAAGACAAAAAGTAATTTATTGCTTAATTGCTACACAAACATAGCTAGCAAATTCGTGGGTAATTGGATGAATAACGCAAGAATGTGGTTAAGACAGCTGCAGAACAGGGCCAAAATGGCCCTGTTCAGTCAGATCAAAACTGCCTTATCATAGTCAATGAACAGTCTTCCTGGATAAGCTGAGGATGACTCGGGCACCTCCATGCCCCAGGCGTGGGCTCCATGGAGCCTTGCAGACCCTGGTGGGCTTGGAGAGCTCAGGAATCTGAGCATAATTTGAACATTATGCTGCTAACAGTGATGATGATTAAATACTGTTAAGTTTATTAAAGTTATCTACAGCTTATTATCACAGTTATGTCATAGAAATATTGCAGTCATACGCTAATGAATTACAAGCGTAATTGGCATTACTGTACCTGCCCTGCATGCTTGAGCTGTATGTTACTGTGTAAGTTATTACAGAGCACTACATGTACACTTTAGATATTCACAGATTCTTTTCTTGCCAGAGCATACCTCTGTGTACTTATCTCCCTGCTAATGATTTTAAAAGCTAACAAGACAAAGGTTTATAAAATAAACCAGGAATAACTCATTCCTAAAAATGTGGTAATGAAGGCTTTGGAATAAGATTATTTAGTAGGAAGGGAGAGCTTAAATCTTTTAAAACTTCTGAAGACTAGCAAGATTTTTGACTGTCTTCATTGTCATCATTCTATTATATAAATCCCTAAGAAAACAGAATTGGTGATACTTATCAACATAAGCAGTCCAAAGGCTAGGAAAAGAGAAGTTAATAAATGCTAATAGAAGATGCTGGTTGCAGTGAAGAAGATAGTGAGCAAGAAAAAGCCCAATTTCTATTCAATAGAATACAAATAGGTCAAGAAACCTACAGCATTTATGTCTAACCCTTCTCAAACTGTGATTTTTATATACATTCATTGATATTGCCACAGTGTTAAGAAATGTTAGGCATAAATCAAGACTCACTGAAGCTGTATGCTTTGCAGTATTAAAGAAAACACTTTGTAACAACAAAACCCCACGCTATGGACATGGATTGATTTTACATACCTGCCAGCTAGTTCCTTATCTAAGTACTTGGCTGCCAATCTTGCTCCATAAACCTCAGCCTGAAGCACAGCTATGTGTCGACGAAGAGCTTCATTCTCCTTCCTCAGCAATTTCACCTCAGCTTCCAGCTGAGCTTCCTTCACTTTTTCTTTCTTGCTAGCTTCAAGTTCTCTCTCCTTAAAATAAATAAGAAATTGAAAAGCTTTTATCAAAGTTGGCAATGAAAAGAGTACTTACTGCTTCTGTAAACCAATGTGAAATAATTCTGACTATAGGACACGCAGGAAAAGAAGTGAAAGAAGCGACTCTGTCACTGCAGCTACTGATTTCCTTACTCCTCTCTGGAGAGAGTTGGCCTTGCACTCAACTTCGTGCTCCCAATAAGACTTTTATCCTGTTTACAGCTCCTGTACAAAATGCATATACTAGCTTAAAGTCCAAGGACTAAAATTAGCAACACTGCTTCTCCCTCTCACAGATAGGTAGCAAAATGTTACGTAGTCTGAATAGCATCCTTGCTTTTTCCTGTGTTCAAATGGGAGACTTGTACAATGAGAAAGAACAGATTATTTTTAAAATAATAAAAAAATACAACCATTATACATTTCAAGCTGATAATATTCTTTAACTATTTTAGTATGATCAGATGTTCTAGAAGTTCTTAAAATGACAATTATTTTCATGCAAACAACCAAGAAATGTCCAGCCAGGGGTATTTCCAAATTAGACTCTCAAGACCACAAGAGGAAAAAAAAAAAAAAAAAAGCCAGACATTCTACACATGCTGATGCATCCCCTATGAAATTAGAAGAGATATTAATGCAAAATAGTATCCTTAATAATAACAAAACAAAAAACACATTAAAAAATCTATCCTTCCTCGTTTTTTTTTTCCCCCAACATGAAAAAGGAATTATGGAAATATAAATTACTTCCAAAGTGCTCCATCATAAATGTACAGATAACATAGCCATTATCTTTTCTAAAATCCAGAGCACTGGAGCTAAAAGGAGGTAGTATGGTCAACTCAGATTACTACCCTACAAAACGTACTACACAAAGAGCTTGTTTGATTACTTGTATCTTTTGTATCTTGCTTTTTTCCCCCCACTTTCTAAAAGGAATATAAACAACAAAGCAAATGAGGAAAACTATGCAGACATAGGTTCAGTTACTATTCCCTTTTAAATTACAGTTGCCAACTGAATAAGCAATAAATACTATGTTCACCATAAGCAGTTTTTGAGGATATTCAGAGCACCTAAAAAGTGTTCTTTGTACGTGTATCAATTACACCATTAAAATCACAAGGTGCAACTACAGAAGCAACAAGACAAGCAACATTTTACAGAACTGGCAAGACAAATCTGTTATGAAACAGTGAATATCCTTATTCACTATTCCAAGTGAAAATAACAAAACCACAGATATGACTGGAATTACCACATTTGAGATATTAAGGTAGGTTGGCACGCATAAACCAAAGAAAGGTATTTTCACAGCAGGTATCTGCCAAAGAGCTACAAATGCCTGCAAAGACAACTGTCGGTTTGACAGACCCTACTTCTGTCTCACCTGTTGAATACCTGTTGGATATTGAACTATGGATATATTGGACCTGGGCTGGATGAATGGAGCACGTTACACATATATACATATTGGCCAAGAATTGCCTAGCACACTGCTCAGGAGGGGTGACACAAAGAGTGCCTGATACTGTTACCTCTCCACTTCCTGCAATTCTCCTATCAACCCAGTTTCACATCGGGCTTGGCTCCATATGTACATAAGAAAACCTGCCACATGAAACCACACCAGGTCTGTCTTTTGGGTTTGGGGTTGTCTTGTGAGATGACTCCCATTATTTTTCATCAAACCTCTTTATGAACTGCAGAATACACTCATAAGCCAAGAATTCTGGCTCATCTACATTTGAAGAATAGGAATTTCTAAAATTATACCAAGTCTCTCTCTCTCTGCTGTAGTAAGTCTTGGGCTATTTTAACTCACGTTTACTGCCAGTAGCCAGAGGGCAATTACAAGAATTCAAGAGTGCAAAGACACCGTGTTGCCTCTGACACATGTATTAAATCTGAACTGTGATACTTCTTACAGCTAAAGCTAGTTTTACAGTAGCTGGAAAGTCTGTCTACAGCTACAGTGTTCCTACAGAATTTATGTTAGTTATATACATATTGCCAGGACTGCATCCAGGTGCTCAGAATTGAACAGGCTCATTATTTGTGGAAGTACTCTATTTTAGGACTTCTTCTATTTGGCAAGCATAAAAAATTAAAAGACTAGAATTTGAGGCTGACATATGAATGCATATAATTCACGTTATTACATTTTCATTAGATATCATTAATTAGCCAGCGTAAAAACCACTCATCACAGCTCTAAATTTGATTCACCACCTAAATCAAACTTAAACCAAAAAAAAAGTTACTTTCCAAAGTGAAATCACTTTTAGTAGTGCATTTTAAACATATATCTAAAATATAAGGAACAACGTAGTCCCCATGAACTCAATTAGTAGTCCCCTATTCTCTCAATTACTGTGACCTATTGTTCTGTGACCTAGGAGGAAAATTACACGCTGAAGCCACTCCTCTGGACTGTCTTCAACTGACCACCACACAAAGAGGTTTGCAATGTCTGAAGATATACTGAAAGGACATGTTGTCTTCTGAGCAACAGCTACGAGATGTGGCAAGAGTCTCCAAATAGGTTTAAAATAATGAGGAATTTAAAGAATTGGATTTAATGCTTTGTAGTGCTCATAGCTTTACATAGGTCCTGCAAAATAGAAAGAACTGTATTTTCCACTGGTAATAAAAAGAAGCAACTGCCACGTTGAAGATCAAGGCTTTGAGCTAACCACAGCTAACCTCTGGCTTTTCAAAGAACAAACACTGAGTAATGTTAGCTAGGTATACAATGTAATAAAAGAGAAGCTGTTCAAAAATTGTCAAGTCTATCACTGGGAAAGACTGAAGGAAGTTCACTTTGCATCACTTTTTCTTCGTATCTATGCATTATTGAGTTTATATGCCTTAGGCTGCTAAACAGGTCAGTAAAGTAGATTAAATCATGCCCATAAAAAGAACTGAGAAAAGTGAAAACAAGGAAAAATAGACAGGATTTAAAAATTATATATAATATATAAAACATTTCACAGTATATATTGCTTGATGTTTACTTTAATTATGGTTTAGAAATTGTGTAACGCCGTAAAATTGTTTGGAGATGTTGCCAAAACAATCTTTTATAATATTAAATTCAAGGTATCACCCTAAATTAGCTCTAACAATAATACATATCGACATAGGAAAGTGGGCACTTAAGCTACGAAAGAAAAACAAAAGAAAACACAAAGAAAGTTCTTTACACAGCATCTTGCCAACTGACAGGAAGGAGGAACAAGACAGATCTGTTTTGCCAGTTTCTGAGGCCAACAATATAAAATGTTACATAAAGCAAAACCACTTAAGCATAACAACAACAAAAAGGGCAATCAGCATACTTACCATTTCATCCACAGAAAGGACAGACTTAAGACAGAAGAAAAGAGTTCCGTAATTAGAGAAATAGGTAATAGGAACTTTAAGAAAAAGCAGTAACATAAATGACTTATTCCAAAAGAAATGCACTAGCAGACTATGCATTTTATTAGAAGACAAAAAAAACACACACATTGCTGTGACTGTACCTAGAAACAATTTTGACATTTTTCAGTGAAAATCATTTTTAAAAAATCCTTGCTTCATTGTAGTACTGAAAACACTACTTTCTCCTAAAATACCAAGGATCTCCACAAAGAGCAGCAAGATAACATTATAAGTATTGTAACATTTGACTGAGAGGAAAAAAGTATCTTCCAATAGAAGAGGGCACATTTACTTCTTGGCTGTACTCAACTATTAGCTAAATAATTTATAGAGCACTTCTCTGAAAGTATCACAGAAAATACTTTCTATAATACAGTTTATGATACAGGCAGTAGACTACTTCCTTTCAGAAAGGATGAGAAAATACATATTGCAAGAGTGACATACAGGATGGGGAGAGACAGCAATAAAGATATATGAACTGCTGAAGACAAAAAAAAATCCTAAAAAAAAAATAGGAAACTTCATTCTCTTACAACGAAAGAGTTATTGTGCCTGGACTAAGCAAATACACCACTCCTAAAAAGGGATTCAAGCTAAACCACATGATGCAATCAATTACCTCGCAATCTGGAACATTTGAAAGTGTCTTTGTTCATCGTCATGTACAATTTTACAGTGCGTAGAATATACTTTTATGCTAAGAATTTACATACAAAAGAAGAGTGGTTCTTAACAAGGAAAGCAAGTAGTTAACTTCTCCAGAACTTTACTTCCCCATCGCCTATTCTGTTGACATAATCCCTCTTTGGCCTAGAGGTTTCTGACTGCCAGAAGGTCAGCGTGACAGTTTTTATTTACCTAAAACTCAAACTTCCCATTTTATTGTCATTTAAGCAAGTTCAATTTTGCTTGTTCAAGCTGCCAGAGCTTTACAGCTTTCCGTATCTACGACAGTTTAAAGGCGAGTTTCTCTCCATTGAAACTATAAAAACACTAAAGGTGAAGTAAAACAAACTCAAAAGATTAGACCTGATGTTTATAAAAAAGGAGTAACTATATGGAATTAAAGAGAATAATAGCCTAGAATGATAAGAAATTCAACTTCAACATGGATAAAATCCGAAGCAATACAAGAAACATTTACTTAATGTTACTTGTCTGAAACTGATGTCACTTTTATGGAGATTTAATGTATCTTCAGAAATTGCTTGTAACAAAGTAAGGGGAAACAAATGTTTGAAGTAGGATTACATCACTCTGAAAGTCTCATTAATGGAATTTAGGGACCAAAATTATTCACAATTTGGGCTGGCTAAAAATTTTGTTTCATGTAAGCCTGAAGGCCAACCCTTACAATATGTGGATTGTATTTAAGTAATTCTTATTTTCAGGCCCAATTAATAACAACTCATACGTAAGGTATATTTCAATACAGAATAAATGATGATCAGACAACCCAGAAAATATTACTCTTTATACTGAGCATGCATGAAAGTATGTAGACCTAAGAACATACCTGTAATTCAGATACAGATTTTTAGATCTGAACCAGAAAGAATTTGGGTTAGCCCTCTTATTCAGTGATGCACCTAGATAGCTTTTAAGCCTGACAGACAGTCTTTTACTGTGTTTTATTATACATTTAATTAAGAGGGCAAATATAGCAGAGGAGACTAATCTAACGCACCACAGCTGTTGGAACTACATATTTGGAACCAACATACAGACCAATTTTAAGAACAGCTAGACTTTGAATTATGACAAGAGTTGGAAACCACAATCTATACAGCATTACTTCATTTTTTAATTTAAAAAGTCTCAGTGTTAGAGCTTGAATCTGTGCTACAGCTAGTAGGCATACTATACTCTGGATATCAATTGATGTCAACTAACTGCATAATTAGTTATGGTTATCTTCTGGTGCATTTTTAAAAGGTCTATGTTTCTCAGAAACATATTTCACAAGATTATCACTGGTCTACTAAGTCCTTTTGTGATAAGTCTGCTCAATGTAGAAATGGTGGAGAGCAAAACAATCCCATTCTTACTCTTACCAGAATATACCTACAACAAGAACAAGCCCTCTTTAGGCTTTTTTACAACACGTGAAGATTTGGTTGTAGTTTTATACTGGAAGCTGTCTTTGCAAATTCTGCCTATTTAAAAGCAATATCATCTAACAAAATATATATCTTTTTATTTCAACAAACCCCTTAGAAAAGGTTTATGTAAAACAACATAAGCTCTTATTCATTATTCTGATGTTATTTACATTTTTAATGGTTCCTAGCAACCAATCATAAGCTTTATTTAAAAGAGAAAAAGCAATCTCTCTCCAATGTTTTTAAGGTGAAAATTTGTAATCGGCTTATTCATAACTTTCAAGAAAGAACTTCAGCCAGGAGAAGGAAGAGGCTATAATCCTCAACTCAAGCCACCATACTCACCAGTTTCGCCTTAATAGCCCCAGAATCAACATTCTGACCAGTTTTGGCGTGTAGCTGAAGCTGAACAGCATGGAGTTGCAGGAGCTGATCATGGACTTCTTTTTCCAATACTGCTTTCTCTGCCTGTGTTTCCGTCAGTTCAGACTTCAGATCAACTAATTGTGCCTGGAAGATATAATCCATCATAGTAATTAGAATGATGATTAAATGTGGTCATCAGAACTATGATACATAAATACATATTTTGCTGGCACATTTTACAGACAAATGCTGTAAGACAGATAAGAGTTCATGCTGTTCCTCTCTAGCCCTATTTAAGGGCTACATCACCTGCAGGCTTTTCTCCTCCTCAATTGCCACCACGTTCATTCATCCACAGACCAAGCATCAAACCACCGTACTGCTGAAAGTAACAGTGGCTGGGTTTTTCCTCATACAGACAATGGAATCTCATCCTCTCTGACACAAGGCAATGGCATTAAAACCACAACGGGATTTACAACTGCAGCAATGTAAACACAATGCACATTTTCATATGACTAAATCTTACTGGAAAAGAAAAAAAGATCGAAGTAAAATGGCAATTATTAATGCAGTGCAGAAATCAAGCAACCCAATTTACATTTGGTCTACTATCAACAACTGAGCTGAAACAGTCAATTAGGTAGGCAAACCAGGAACCATGAATTAACATGCCCCTAAAAACATCTGTAGAAAATCACAAATAATAGCTTTTAACTCAAGAAAAAAAGATTTGAAACATTTTAAATACAGTTTACATGTAATATTTGTATCTAGAATAAAAGAACAAGTTTACATTTTTACCAGGCTACTTGCTATCCTTAAGTTCAAGTAGCATTTTAAAAAGTGAAATCGTATCTGGAATACTTTAAGGCCATATTACTTTAGAGAAATGGGTTGCTTACAAAACCTTATCATTCTCCCCAGTAAACAGCCATGCCTCAAGTCTCTCTGCTGTGCATTATCTGCCCCCAGGCAAAGGCAGCACACACCTGAACTGAAGCAGCAAAAGGATGTCACCAGTATATGAGGTGATAATACGGCAGATAACCAAGACCTTAATAAGGAAGGTACAGTTTGACTCAGTCACAATTCCATATAATGTATAGCAATATTACTTTTAATTATTATATAATGCATAATTATATTACTATATCCTTTAAGACACTCCTTTCATATGGGTACTAATACATAGTTAACATAACTTTCATTCCATTTTACCCTCCCACACAAACTCAGGTGTTCTAATTCAGAATGTCTGGATAAGCAGAAAGTAGTGGAGCAGATAAATCACAGTCCAATTTTGTCCAGCCTCACCTGGCCTATAAGGGACAGAGCAGAATTTAGAAAAGAAGCACATCTGCATCTCTGTGCAAATTACAAGAGCAAGAAGGATGGCTACTGGTTTTACACCATGGATGATCCTCCAAAGAGATTAAAGAGACTGTTAAACTCGCAATAAAGAAACAAACAAACAATCAACAACAAACAAAGAAACCATGCAGTACTCTCTGTAGACGACCTAGAATTTAAAAACCTATCTTAATGTTTTAATAAAAAGCAAAATGAGAAATGGTACCAGTGCACACCACTGAAATAGTCTATTTACACATTATAGAAGGTCATAAACCTATTCCAGGAACAGATGCAGGTACAAGTCACACCCAAAAGGAAATATAATAAGCTGGTTTCGAATCCTATGTCCTACTTCTATGAAGGATAATAAATCTTCACATTATTTCACAGAAATCCTGCCTTTCTCAGCTTGGCCAGTTCACCTCATTCTCCAGATCAACTTAGCATAATCAGAGAAATCTGTTTCTAATACTCGAAGATATTTCCTGTATGACACACGATGAGGGGCCCTCATATGACTCCTGCCAGCGCTGTTTTTTGATTCCCTGTTCCCTCAGTTACATTATAAAAGAAGCACATGGAAAGCCCACCGGAAAATCAGCAGCTCTACGTTCCCTTTTGGAAGGCACCCAGTAAAACTGGAGAGGGGGCAGAGGCAGGAGACAAAACGAGGAGCACAAACCAGACCCATGGACATCTACTTGCTCCGAGAGCACCGCTCGCTGCAGGGGGCCGGGGCTCCACGCAGCCGGGTGCTGCCAGCCCCTGTAACGATCGTGTTTCAATCTCTGTCAGCAAACCCAGGATGAATTAATGCTGCAGACGTAGCTGTACCAATCCTTGCATCAGCAACTTCTTGGATGCTCTCTCCAACAAGGCTGTCAGAGGAGAGACACCACACATCTCTCTGTACACATACCTGTAAGCGTGCTGTGCTCAGGGCAGGTCACCTGCGGCTGCCCTCGGAGCTGCCGAAAGCCAGCTGGGGGCAGCGGTAACAGGCAACCGCCCATGGGCACCCCTCAGCTTCACGGCTGGGAGAGCTGAGGAGAAGCCACCGAGCAACAGACAGAGAACAGAAACTTCTGCTGGGGAACTGTCGGGGGCAGAGCTTGCGGGGAGGGCAGGATGCTCGACTTCATTTCGTCCTTGAACGTGGTGATTCATCCAGGAGAAGAAATAGGGGAGGGGGCTCTAAGCAAACAGCAATTCCTTCAAACATTTACTTTATGTGGCATATGAAGCCAGTGGTACAAATTAAAATACGGTTATAGTTTACACACCTGAAATAACACCGGGGGGTGTAGCCACACCAAATTTTTATAAAATCCCTACTCCATGATTAGGGAGTACCACTGGAGTACACATGGTAAATTCTAAAAAAAATCGCCACCCTGCTGCTAATTTTCTATCCTTATTATTAACAGAATAACTGGTTTTATTGTTTTATTTCAAGAGTTGGACTTGATGATCCTTAAGGGTCCCTTCCAACTCAAGATATTCTATGATTCTATGATTTCTGGATTGACACAGGGGAACCAACATGACTCTTATTCTGAAGTTAACGTTACACAACATCAAACCAAAGGATTGCCACAAAGTAAGCACTATAAAAATGCTCTAAATGTGAATATCTAACCAAATACAGAAAGCATGTTATTTCCCCTAAAAAGTACACAGAACAGCTGATCTACCATCAGTCTTACAAGTGATCGTACAAAGCACATGCCCCTAGTAGTAACAAACATGGTGACACTGTAACGCTCAACAAATTAACTTGAAGACACAAAAATTATTACAGGGCAACGATTTTTAGAAGTTCTAAAATGTTTCAGTATACTCTTATTGCAAGAAGCTCCCAAAACAGAAGCAGGAACCATATACCATTTAATTCAAAAGCTCATAAACTTAAAAGTCTTTCATTTGATCTTCCAAAAATTACATACCTTAAAAAAAAAACACACATTTGCACTATTAGGAATGAAATGCTGTGCATCGTTCCCACCTGAACTGGAAGAGGCACTTGAGTCATCTGCTACTAACCCAGTAGAGTAAATACAGTCTATCAAGGCCACAGACAATCAACAAAGATGTTAGTTTTATAACACTAATAGCACACGCCATGCAGAGGTAGAATATGCCCTTCTGAGTCCTAGTGACACCAAAGGAGAGTGCAAATAGAGGAGGAATTAATTTACAGTCAAAGTTTCTAAAATTGCAGTAACTACTCGTGTTCATGGCAGGAAATACAAGGTCAGCTATCCTCTTCCACCAAGGCACAAAATCCTCTTTATTACAGCATACTACCGTGCAGCTTTGCAATTATTGCACGTGATTCTATCAAAAGCAAGACAACGCTTAAGTTTTTCTCTGCTAACTCACTTGTGAGCCCGAACTCTAAGCAACATACGGTAGGACTGGGCTGTGGCTCTTGGAAGTATGATTTAATCACAGCAATTACTCGTTTAATTTAAACACAGCATTACTGGTCATGGCTTTCTATTTACCCTTCCTACTGCAACCATCCTACTCACTCACACAGCCAGTTATACCAGAATTACTCCTTGGTTTCCAACCTTCTCCTCACTGCTGTGAATAAAACAAGCAAACCTTGAAGACTGAGGTGAGGAGAAGGATGGTAAATTCAGAAGCATTTTTTTTTGTTCTGTTCCTACCCAAAGTACCAGAAAGCACATGCTATTTTAGAAAGAGCAATTGCTTCAGATTACTATCACATTGGTCTTATAATCAATCTCCCTTTAAACTCTTAAAAAAAACATGCAATTCAAGTGAATTGCAGATCTTAGTCAAATTAATCAAACATTAAAACAGAGTATTTATCTTCCAAACAATCTGAAACACACAGATGATAACAGAAGAACAGTTAAAAAATGCTAACTAAATACTTAATTCTGGGGCATATTTTGCCATTTGCCATTTGTTTGTACTTCAGAGATCTTACACCTATGAGAATCACAGCCAAATGTAACTTGAAATAACTCAAGAACTTATAAATTACTGTTTTTCCCCCCATAGGAGATAAAAGAAAATAAATCATGGCATTAAGCAACAAATTCACTTATTCCACAGAGCTTTCAAAAACACTATTACAAGTAAAAAAAGAACCTCTCAACAAAACAGTGCAGACATAACGACCTTCTATTTTTTAATCAACAGTTCATATTTCTTGTTTAAACAGTTATGAGTTATGAAAAAAATGTGTTTGATATAAACGGTCTTATGCTAAATATGTATGTTAAGCTGTCAATATAATAATTGCAGTTTACATGCTGGGATTGACTGCATTTACTATCATGGAGTCTTAACTAATTGTTTTCATCTGGAGGGAGAGAATTTATGCATCTTAGAAACAAAACCATCACAGTGCTCTTCTGATTACTTTACATCATATCCTGTAATTTTTCCATATGTAGGTCATATCCTGTGATTTTTTCATATGTAGGTCAGAACCAAAAAAAATAATTCATTCATCTGCTTGTACATTTTTCACAGAAAAGGGAGTGTTAGAATAATTAACCAAAACTCATCGATTTATTTCTGTAAGATCTCAGAGCCATCCTCAGAGCCTATGCTAAGCATTACACATACCAAAAACGTGAGCCGTGAGCCTTGCCCCAGACAACTTACAAAGTAAATATAAGAAGGAAACGATGAATAAATTCAACATGAAAGAGAAGTACAGAGACATTTGTGTATAGAGCTGCACAACAGGAAGCAGGCAGATGGCACACTAAAACCACAAGTTTTTCATAATCATCAGTGCTTGA